CCAATCTTACCACACTAGCCATTTGATATTGGGCAAGTTCTATTTATTCATCTAGTAGGAGGAATAACATTGGTACCTACTTCAGAGTGTATAAGGATTAAGTGAGTTAATGCATGAAAAGTGCTCAGTACAGTGCCTGGCATATGGGAAGAACTCAATCATTCCTATTTCTTACTGTTTTGCTTAAGAGACTCTTCTCGGATGACAATTAAAATTGCTCCTAAGCAGATATCCTAGAGTGTGCTGATGATTGAATTTTATCCCCAGAAAGTATAGTTGTATGCTCTGTTCCTTTAACTTCAGGGAGCTCCAGACGGTTCTCTGTCTAGCCCTGTCTGCTGGTAAAAATTTAATAATAAAGCCATGTGTCATGGTGTATACTTGTAATCCTAGCCACTCAGGAGGCTGAGGCAGGAGGATCACAAGTTTGAGGCCTGCCTGGGCAAGTTAGCAAGACATTTTGTCAAGGAAAAAAACGTTGTTTTTTAAGGGCTAAGAATGTAGTGTAAAGCACACCCAGAGCCAGGTAGGTGACACACACCTGTCATCCCAGCAACTTGGGAGGCTGAGGCAGGAGGATCACAAATTCAAAGCCAGCTTTAGCAATTTAGCAAGGCTCTAAGCAACTGACAAGACCTTGACTCAAAAAATAAAAAGCTGGGGGTGTTGCTTAGTGGTTAGAGCACCCCTGGGTTCAATCTCAAGTACTAAGTAAATAAGTAATTTCTTAAAAAGCACCCCCAGATTCAATCACCAGTACCAAAAAATAAAGTTTCTGACTTTCCTTATGCCAAGTAGCTGAGAAAGAGGTGGTGGGTGGTGGTTTTCCAGCATTCATGGACATGTCCTGATACTCCCTTTTCCTTGCTAACCATTCCCTAGGCTGGAGTCAAGAGAGGGCAAACCAGAATGCCCAGCTTTGGGTCTGACTCCAAGAAGACTGGCTTGGAGGAAAACTTAGCAGGCAAAACAGGCTTCTGAGGCACAGAACAGTGAGACTACAGCATTGTTGAACTGGTGACAGTCCCTGCTGAAGAAACACCTCAGCTGTGTATATGGCCAAAATAAAGATCACACCTCCTAAAGGGAAAATGCTGGGCAGACCAGAGATGGAGATGGCAAAGCAGGAACAGAAATGCTGCCACAGTGAACAGGAAGCAGGACAACCTGACTAGGCCAGAGTTCTCTGCCTCAGGGAGCCTCAAGTTTCAGGAGTTCTTACCCACCCCCTTCACCTAGGATCCCCGCTACAGTGAGTAACTGAGCCTGGACCCAAAACAATCCTGATGTGCAGGTGGCTGAGAATCTGGTGAAGGCAAGAAGCACTCTTATCAGCCACTTTCTTTCAGCAGAGTAGTGAAAAGTAGCCTAGCAAAAACAAAATTCATGTTTGTATTGTGTATATGTAAAGTACTTCAGAGTTTCCAAATGGGATCTTCTCACAGCCACCCTATCAAGTAGCAAGATTGGTGATTTCAAGGATGAGTAATAGAATAATGTGCCTTGTTTCCCAGGGCACAGAGTTAAGGCTTGGTTAGGATTCATTTCTTGAATGTTTGATTTCAAGTTTTTTATACTGTCAATATTTCCCTCAGTCATATTTTATCACCTTGATTTGCATGGAAGAATCAAGTCAAAAGATACTTCCTATAGAAAGCACCATTAACTGCCTTCAGATATAATACTTTTATTAGGTTCACAGTTTTAAGTTGGAAAAAAGAAATGGATTATAGTCTGAATCCACATTTTTAAATGTGTTGAAGTAGCCATATAAGGTGACACACACCTGCAATCCCAGCAATTTGGGAGGCTGTCTTAAAAAGTTAAAAAAGGACTGGGAATGTAGCTCAGTGGTAAAGTGCCCCTGGGATCAATCCCTAGTACCAACAATAAAAATAACTAAAATTAACTGCCCAATGACAGTTTAGCAAGTGCCATACTAAAATCACATTTTGCTCATTTTAGAAATGTGGGAGGTTAGCCAGATATGGTGGCATGTACCTATAATCCCAGCAACTACACAGGCTGAGGCAGGATTATAAATTTGAGGCCAGTCTTCACAACATAGACTCTTTCTCCAAATTTTTTAAATAAATAGGGCCGGGGTATAGCTCAGTGGTAAAGCACTCCTGGGTTCAAACATCAGGAAGCACACACAACTACCACCCCCACCTCCTCCCCCATCACGCACCCACCAAAAAGTATCTTATCTAGGTACAGTGGTGCCTGCCTGTAATTTCAGCTAGTTGGGAGCCTGGAGCAGAAGGATCTCAAGTTTGAGGCCAATCTGAGCTACTTAGCAAGAAGACCTGTATCAAAATAAAAAGATCTGAGGGGCTGGGGATATATATATAGCTCAGCAGGTAGAGTGCTTGCCTTTATGCACAAGACCCTGGGTTCTAATCCCCAGCACCATTAAATAAATAAATAAAAAGATCTGGGGGTATAGTTAAATGGTAAAACACCTCTCTCTGGGTTTAATCCCCAGTAGCATGCAAAAAGCAAAAACAAGAAAAAAAATGTAGTTTTGAGTCTGCATTAGGAACACCTGAGAAGAGAGAATAGTTTGCTTCAGTGAAGCTGAGACTCAGAACCTACCATTTGGCCTATTTGCCACTCCTGAGGTATATGAAGTTAGCACTGAATCTGAGAACTTGGGAGCCATGCTACCAATCCCCTTGGCCCCTGAGTTTACTTTCTCTCCTGCCCAAGTACTTTGTGGGGGGCAGTCTTCCTGTCCCACCCCATTGTTCCCTCCAACCCAGTTCCCCATAAGGACTATAGATTTATCCTTCTTAACCGTGATTTACTGACTTCCTCACTTGCTCCATCAGCTCTTTCAGGATGTTCTGTGGTCTTTTCCAAGCTGTGATCTGACTTTTCCCTTTTATTTCCCTCTAGATACCTTCCTGTTTCATCAAATCAAACTCACTGGCCTCTTACATGCCCCTTCCCTTCTTCCTACTCTCCCCAAACAGTCTGCACCAATTTGTACATTTTTGCCTTTGCCTAGTGATAATTATTCCCAGGCTTCCTATGCATACCCTTTCTCAGACTTTTCCAGTCTTCATTGAGAACTTTCTATAAGCAGAATGAATTCCAATGCCAGTTCCTTAACTTCTTAGAGCCTGTTTCCCATCTATAAAATGGGACTACTAATTCCTCAGGATGAGATGAGGGTACAATGAAAGAAATGAGCCAAGAGCAGTGGTGCACGCCTATAATCCAGGCTACAGAGGCTGAAGTAAGAGATTTGCAAATTCAAGTCCAGCCTCGGCAATTTAGTGAGACCTCCTTAAATATAAAAAAGTCTGGGGTTGCAGCTCAGTGGTAGAATGCCCCTGGGTTCAATCTTCAGTACTACCAAAAAAAAATTTAGCTGGGCACCCTGTAAAGTGTGTGTGCATTTTTTAATATGAGTGTTTCTCCAAGCCACCCCCCCGCCACACACACACACACACACACACACACCCTGTTTTCATAGTGCTGGTAGACAAGTTTAAGGGGTGGGGGTGGAAGTGTGATATGAATCCTGCTGTCTAGCAGTCTGCAGTCACACTGCACTCCAAGCAATGAGATTTTATAGGATTAAGTACCGAACTCTGAGCTTTAAGGATTCCAGAAAGAAGGATGAAGTGTCTTTCTCAGGGTCCCTTCAGTTAAATATGCAACCTCGATCCTGTTCAAACTCCTGGACACATGCAAGTGTCCATTCCTGTGGCCCTTTACTTGATCCTTCTCTTGGGCCTAGATCAATGTTGTCATGGATTTTTGTGGGGGAGGGGATTGGTCAGGGTCATGTCCAGAGCTCAGGTTTTATTGAGGCAATAGAAAGGAGGCAGGGCCTATGTTTGCAGAAAAACATCCTAGTTAAAGGAGTTGAGGAATTGATTCTGAGGGGATTTTCTGAATTGCTGCTGGAAAGGGATTAAACATGGCAAGGAAAGGATATTTGCTTGGGAACATGCACTGGAAACTTTGGAGTAAGAATAATGTTCAAGAGAAGCTAGAAGGGAAGGCAGGTGTCTGAGTGACCCAGTCTCTGAGGGGAAACTGCGTTAGGGCTAAGATTTGGTGAGTGAATCAGTGCAAAAGATTGTGACTTCACATGCCTGTAATCCCAGCGACTCAGGAGGTTGAGGCAGGAAGATCCCAAGTTCAAAGCCAGCTTTAGCAATTTAGCTAGGCCCTAGTACTGGGAATGTGGTTCAGTGGTTAAGTGCTCCTGATTTCAATCCCAGGTACTCACCCCACCCCCCAAAAAAGGTTGTGATTTATTTATTCAGAAAAGAGCATTTTTCTGGGAGCACTTCAGGTCAAACTGTCACTTCATCCCCTCCACCTACTCAGACCTCAAGCTGAACAGTCAGGCAGAGGGAGGCCCTTGTGTTCAGAGCTGCCCGGATGCCTGGTCCCCACCTACTGTAGCCCCAACTCCCAACCCACACTCACCCTGTTATTGTACCCTAAGCTGAGAGCCGGGACACGCGGCGGGGTGGGACAAAACCCAAGAAGTAAGATCGAAGTTAGAAACAGACAGAGGGCTCTCGGAGTGGGAAAACCTCAAAGGACAAAATTTCCTGGTCACCTGCAGTAGACAAATGGGAGAGATCCTAGGGTTAAAGGGAATAGGCTGGCGGGCGCCAAACCTGTGGAAGGCCAACGCGTTGGGCAACACCTCCCAGTAGGGGGCAGTATCCAGGTCGCTTGGCCTAGAAGAGCTGGGACGCCAGATGCACTAAGGTTGTTTGTGAGCCTTGCCTTCAAGCCATCTCCATTGTGCTAGGGTGGGGGGCGAGAAAGAAGAAAGCGGCCTTCCCCGCACCCCGCCCGTGGGCCCGCCTCCAGGCCCCCGCCCCACCCCCGGCTCCGCCTCCACCCCCGCCCCGCCTCTGGCCGCGGCCCCTTCCTCCCGCAGCTGGTGCTTTGGGGCCGAACCGCGCGTCGCTGTCTCTGTGGCCCCGGATCCCAACGCGCAAAGGTGAGGAAGGCGGAGAGTGCGGGCAGCCGACGGGGCCAGGCCCGGGCCGGGGGTCGGGAGCCGGGCAAAGCCTTCCCCACGTCCACTCCACCCTATGAACTGGGCCTGGCCTTTTCTCACTGCCAAGACCCCCAGTCCTGCATAAAGGCTTTAGAGGGGCACCGGCCAGGCCTCAGGTCGCGCAGGGCGCAGACCGGCCGCCGCGGAGTCTGGGACCGGAGCGGGGCGGGGACCCGCGTGGTGAACAGTGTTCCTCTGGATCTGGGTCACGTCTCTCGGCGTCCAGCGCGATCGAAGGAGAGCTTGTCCTCGAGCTGCAGCAGTAGAGACTGAGGTTAGATCTGACGAAAGGAGAGAACCACGGACTGTCCAGAATGGTGGAGGGAGGGGGTGGCAAGGGAGGGGCTCTCTCTAGCCAGGAGAGACCGCCATCCTACTAGGCAGAGGGAGATACCGCCTACAGGCAGGTGGACATCTGGGATGAAGGTCGAGAGCCGGCTGATCCTCCATTGATCCTGTTGGGGGCGGGGGGCATCCTTCCCCACTCCTCTCCACCTTAGTACCTAATAGTGAGAAGGTGATCGGAGTTCAGGGGACCGGCAGCCTGAACTGTAGAACTCAGGGTGAAGTATGGGGTGTGAACTGGAGACCTTGAACCCGCTTAGCCACTGGGGGAGGGGTATGAATGCTCCGCCTAGTCTGGTTAGCCCCGCCTGTCCTCCCTCCCAGCAGGTTAAGTGGGGGCTATGAGCTCCCACTTACTTCTATCCTTAATTCCCCAAATCTAGAACTGCAGTATACATGGAGATAGAAGACTGCTATGTTTTGCACTTCATTCCATCCCTCTTTGATAAAACTAAGGACCTCCTCCTGATTGGGTTAGTTACCTCCTCCCTCCCTTGCAGAGTAGCCTTGACCTATGCACTCATCCCATGTCAGAAGCCCAGAAGCCTCCCCTCAACATCCCCATGTCCCCCATCCCCACACAGAACCACAATACACACTTGGAATCTGGCCTTTGAATTGGGACTTTGGGAAAGGAAGGTACAGTTCTGCTCTGCACCTCAGCCCGATGAACACTGTTAGCCACCAAGCCTGCAGCAAGAATCAGACCCCTGTATGCATGTGTGCTTGTCCCTACATGGTTGTAATTGTGTTTGAGTATTGTGTGAACACAACATGTAGCTGGCCCTTCTGTGAACATTAGTATGCCTGACTCAATGGGTTTGTGTGCATGTAATCAATGGGTTTGTATGCATGTCCCTACACACCTGTGTATACCTATACAGGACTCTCCTGTTGAAGAGGTATACAGCCCTTTTTATATAAGCCCACATATGTAGGTTTAGAACCCTGATCATCTGCTGGGTGCACTTTTGCATGCCTGTAATCCCAGCAGCTCAGGAGGCTGAGGCAGGAGGATCACAAGTTCAAAGCCAGCCTCAGCAAAAGCAAGGTGCTAAGCAACTCAATGAACCCTGTCTCTAAATAAAGTGCAAAATAGGGCTGGGGATGTGGCTCAATGGTCTAGTGCCTCTGAGTTCAATCCCTGGTATACCCCCCAAAAAAATAGATGGGCATATGAATGCAACCTTACATGTGAAATGTATCACTACACATGGCCATGACTCTCCATGTGAACATAAGTGTGCACAAACCTCCCTGTGAGTGTGAGTGTGTGAATGACTCTCCTGTGAATACATGTGTTCATAGCCCTCCCTGTGAATGTATACTCACACCTGTGCATGTACATCACCTTCCTTTGGACCCATGTGATTCAGGATAAACCTGTATAAATGTGCCATGTACTGCACTCTGAGTGGTTCCTTTAACCTGGGGTGTGTTTGTTCTGCCCAATCCTAGGGACTGATCCCTCCTGGCTATAGGGCTCCCCGCTTCTGTGCTAAGCAAATAGGAGGCCCCAAAGGTAAACAGGTGTGCCTCCACAGTGAGGGGTGGAGCATGAGAAGCTTGCCTGAAACTTCCTGATGCCCCAGCCCCCAAATCAGGAACTAGTGCCCTTTCTGTGATCTGCAGGCCCTCTCCTCTCCCTCTCATATTCACTCTCCCCTCCCATGCTGACCTTTAACTCTTTGAATAAACCCTCCAAATTCCTGTTATCCTCTAGCCAGCTCTTGATCCCTCCCCTCTCTTCAAGGCCAGATAGTTAATATTTGACCTGGAAGAAAGAGGAGAGGCCAGTGGCACCTTCTGACCCTGCTTCTGGGTATCTGATGAGATGAGGTGAGTTGAACGGCCTCCACACCAAGCCCAGGCCAGGAAAATGAAGGACCCCCCTCAGAGATCAGGAGACCTGTAAAAGGTGCCAGGGAAAGCCTGTCCCCCAATCCCGATTGTTGACTTGAGGGAGGATCCAGGTATGGGAATAATCTCCAAGATGTGCCAGGGAAGGTGGCCAAGAACTCAGAGATCTCACCATCCACCTTATCCACATTACTTGTGTCTCCATTAACTGGCCTTGCACACTACAGTCTCCTGCACAGATGTTATACCTGTGCAGCTAGGGATACCCATATACTCATACCTGGTTCTGACCCCCTTGTGCCTGTGGAATGCCTGCTAGCAGGTAGGGACACGTGTGGAGGCCTAGCCAGAGGGTACAGTACAGACTCGCATGGGCAGGGCAGAGATGTGCACCCCCCAGAGAAGAATGCTGAGGAGGAGAAGTGTCTAATTAAAGAAAAATTCCAGAGGGAGCTCTCAGGCCAAGGAAAAGAAAAAACAAAGGGAAAACAGGACAAAATTAACAAAGGCCCATTAAAGATCTCTGTTCAGGCCTTCCTGCATAAGGCACCCCCGCAGGCAGCAGGGGCAGCAGCTTCCCATTGTTGAAGAAGCATTCTCTTTTGAGAACACAAATTCCACCTCAAAGGGGACCTAGAAGAGCTTCTGACTTGGCCAGAGAAGGGGTGTTACTTGGAGTTTGAGTTGGAGGGAGTCCAGGATCAGATAAAGAGGGCAAGTTCCCATCCTAGCCTCCTGCATCAGAACAGAGATGAACAGGAATGAGTCAATTCTGTCCTAGGAGTTCTATGGAAGCTGGACCTCCACCCTTTGGTGTCCCTGAAGACTGGGTAATTCCAACAATCTTCCACCTGCCCACAGATCAAAGAGATTTTTATCCTCTTTTGTTTTTTTTCCCCCCTCCTTCAGAAAACGGACCTCAGAGAACTAGGAATAGCCCTGCTATCACGGGCAAGGTGACCCATCAGTAACCTACGAACCCTCTATGACTCCGCAACTTCCGATTACCATGAAGTTTGCATTTGATGCAGAAAGGCATGTGATCCATCCTTCCCTCTGATCCCATAGCTGAGATTCCATGGCCACACAACCCTGTGGCTCCATGTCCCCCCCATTCCAGGATCCTCCCTGGCCCCATGACTTCTTGACTCCAAGGCCTCATGTCCCCTGACCTTCTATGTGACCTTCTTGGACTTTGACCCCTGTGACTGTGTTTCCCATCTCCTCCTGTGACTGGCCCTGGCTCCCCTTGGGGGTCTTGTTGGTCTTGGCCTCCCCAAGAAGATGTTGGGGAGGCTTTGGCCCCTCTTCCTGAGCCTCCTCACAGCAACAGCTGTCCCTGGACCCTCCTTGCGGCGACCTTCCCGAGAACTAGATGCCACCCCACGGATGACCATTTCCTATGAAGGTTAGACCCTCAATCTTCAAAGGCCACAGCAGCCAGGGCTGGGAGCAGGGGGTAGCCCCCAAACTGGGCTCACTGCCTCTGCTCTCCCTAGAGCTCTCCGGGACCAGGCACTTCAAGGGCCAAGCCCAGAACTATTCAACATTGCTGTTGGAGGAGGCCTCTGCAAGGCTGCTGGTGGGAGCTCGAGGCGCCCTATTCTCTCTCAGTGCCCATGACATAGGAGATGGGGCTCACAAAGAGGTCAGCCCTTGAAACTTGGACCACTCTCAGTGCCTATAGCCTTATCCTGTTCACAGGGACCTCAGCTTCCCAGAACCCTGCCAGACTTCCATAGCCCTTTGGACAGCACTTCCCTTCCCAGCCCAGGTCTCCCTTGCATCCAGTGTTCCTCCTGCTATTCACCCCATCCCAGTTTTTCCAGCTCCCTTGAACCCTCTGGGTAATGGGTATTGTCAATGCATCTATCCATTCCCTTTACCCCTGCTAGATCCAGTGGGAGGCCTCCCCAGAGATGCAAAGCAAATGTCATCAAAAAGGGAAAAACAACCAGGTATGTGGTGGTCTGCCCTGTCTCCAGCTTCTTCCTTCTCCTCAGTTGGGGATGCCGGGGTTGATAGGGACACAGATGAGGTGGTACAGACTCCCAAGTCAACTTTTCAACCACAAAAAAAAAAAAAAAAAAAAAACTGAGTGCTGCTGGAGTGGCAGACCTGGGATGTAGCCCTTCTAATCCAAACATCTGGTGGCTTATTAGCTTGTCCTATCAGGGCATCTTAATCCCCTCTGAACTCCCAAATTATAATCATGATAATAAGAAGTAACCTCTAGTAAGTGCTCACTTAGCTATTATCTTCCTCAAGTTCTAAAATAACTATGAAGTAATATTTCCCCATTTTACAGATGATAGAAATGAGGTTTTGGTGGGGGACTAGCTCTAGTACCCACTATTCCATGGAGGGGCATTATGGAAATGTCAGCCCTATCTGGCTAAAGAACATGGTGTCTGCAAGGGACCTGCATCTAACTATGTAACAGAATCTATCTGGAAAGCTTTTTTAAAAATACACATTCCCAAGTTTCACTGGCCTGGAGACTCTTGATTCTGGGGTGATGCTGGGACAGCTGAATTTAAAGAGGAGATTCTATAAAAGGCTGCCTCTTGGTGCCGTGTGGGTAGATAACAGGGTTAGTGAGATAAGTAGAACCCTAGTCATGGAAGGCCATAATGCCCAGCAGAGGTTTTGTTTTTTATTCTATGACAATGGGCACCCTCACATTTAATACCTTATCTCAGGGCTCTCAAACTTTACATGTGATTCACCTGTGTATATTACAAATACAGATGCTAAATCAGTAGGTCTGGAAAGGGCCTAGGATTCTATAGACAAGCTCCCAGGTGAGGCTGAGGCAGTAGTTCCCATACAACACTTTGAATGGGAAGGCTTCTGAGACCGTTTCTCATTGTGCTGAGGGATATTAATTTTCAAAAGAGGGGTTTAATGATCCAGTTTGTTTGAAAAGTGTTGCATGTTCAGTTCCACAATGCATAGCAATATCTTTAAGGTTCTAAGATAGGTTTTACCTGTTGTTTTTCAAACTTATTTGACCACAGAATTCCTCCTCAGAATTGAAAGCAGTGTGTGTCCTGGGACAGAGCAGGGATGGCTTTTAAAATGTAAACATCTTAGGGTAAGCTCACTGTAGGAAAGTTTATCTGGCCCAGACACCAGAAGGACTCAAATAGGCTGAATCTAGAGACAGGAAAAGCATTGGTGAGGCTGGAGTAGTATCCTATGGGTCAGAGGAAAGAGGACTGAGAAGGCTAACAGAGAAGGGACAGATGCCAGGGGCTACAACAGGTGAGAGAGTGGGAGGAGATAGAGAAGACTGTGTAGACTCAAACCCTGGGCAACAGACAGGAGGAAGAATCATTAACAAGGCAGAGAAGTAAAGAGAGTGGTAGCTTAGGGCATTTGAAAGACAGAGAAGGCCAGTGTGGCTAGAATTGAGTGAGTGAGGCCAAGACAAGGGTAAGGGGCAGGGCCCAGTGATGCAGGGCCAGGGGCTTGAGGGACTCTGTTCAGGGCACTGATGAGCCACTGCAATGATATGATCTAGTTTACATTTGTGAAATGTGCTTTGAGAATTGGGTTGAAGAGGAGCAAGAGTATGTTGATTGGTGGAACATCTCTAGAAGGATGCTCCAGACAGTGATAGTAGCAGTCCCCAGTCACAGACTACCTGGGAGACAGGAATAAATGGGAGACTGATTACAACACATCCCCTTATACCTTTTCAAATTTCATACTACATGCAAGTATTCCTCATTCACTGAACAAAAAGAGTGGCAGAGGGTAGTCAGGAGGCTGCTGAAGTTGTCCAAGAAAGGAATGATGGTAGTAATTTGAATTGGGCAGTGGTGATAAGGTAAATTGGACCAAGTTCAAGAGCAATTTAGGACAAAGAATGAATCATGAAGAGGGACTGAATGTGGGGGCGAGGGAGTGAGAAGCAGTGAAGATGACTCCTGCCTCCTGGCTCCATCCTTGAGAACAGGATGGAGGCAGTGAGTGAGGTGGGAAAGACTGGATGAGCAGGTTTAGGAGGGAAGATGCAGGTTAGGGAGGAGATGAGTTTGCCTCCTGACAAGGTGAGTTTGATGTATCTAAGGGATGGCAGGTGGAGAGAGAGAGGCAGGGTGTGGGTATTCCTGGACAAGGAACATGCCTGAGAAGGAGTTCAGTGGGGGAAAAACATCTCAGGGTGGTAGGAGCCCTGGAAGCTCCAGAACTGGGGGTGGAGGGAGCTCCAGGAGACATAGGAGAAGCTGTGGTGTTAGGTGATCCAAGAGCTTTGTCACTGGTAGGTTAAGGACAGAGGGTGCCAGGGAATATTTTGTAATCTGGGCAATGCAAAGGCCCATGAGCATCTTAGAACTGTTTGTCCTGCAAGTGGGGGAAAGAGACAGACTCTAAAATAGATTAAGGGAGGAGGCCTCTAGCTAAGCAGGGCACTCACACTTCTCCACTACCTCATCCCACAGACCGAGTGTTTCAACCATGTCCGGTTTCTACAGAGGCTCAATGCCACCCACCTTTATGCATGTGGGACTCATGCCTTCCAGCCCCTCTGTGCAGCCATTGTGAGTATGACTGACTTGAGCCCTGACTGCTGACCCTAGACTGGTCTAACCTTGGGCTGCAGCCCACGCCTGTCCTGTGACTGACTGTTGGTACCTCATTCTCTAGGATGCTGAGGCTTTCACCCTTCCAACCAGCTTCGAGGAGGGGAAGGAGAAGTGTCCTTATGACCCAGCCCGCGGCTTCACGGGCCTCATCATTGGTAAGCAGGCATTCCTCCCTGCCCAGCCCCTCATTCACAAGGATGGCATTTAGTGGATCTTGTCAATAGGATTTGCCACCTACGTGTGTTGTGTGCCCTGATGTATATGACATGTCTCATTCCTGGCATGTCCTTGCCTCAGATGGAGGCCTCTACACAGCCACACGGTATGAATTCCGGAGCATTCCTGACATTCGCCGGAGCCGCCACCCACATTCTCTGAGAACTGAGGAGGCACCAATGCACTGGCTCAATGGTTAGGAGGATGAGGCACAGGATGAAGGGGGGTAGGGGTCTATTTCTTCATTTTTACTCCCTTGGGCAGCTGACCATCCCATCCCCAAGTCCCCAGGTGAGCCTATTCATTCCACTCCTGTGCTTTGTCAAGGGAGGGATAGGGTGGGGCAGAGGTCCCCAGCCTGTCTCAGAAGACACTTAACTGCTCAACCCACAGATGCTGAATTTGTGTTCTCTGTGCTGGTACGGGAGAGCAAGGCCAGTGCAGTGGGTGACGATGACAAGGTTTACTACTTCTTCACGGAGCGTGCTGCCGAGGAAGGCTCCAGCAGCTTCACTCAGAGCCGCAGCAGCCACCGTGTGGCCCGTGTGGCCCGTGTGTGCAAGGTAGATAGGGCTGAAATCAGGACATAGGGTAGAGGCTTGATCTCTGACCCTGGTCCTTGAACCTCTGCCCCCTACCTCCCCAGGGAGATTTGGGAGGAAAGAAGATCCTGCAGAAGAAGTGGACATCCTTCCTCAAGGCTCGTCTCATATGTCACATTCCACAGTATGAGACACTGCGTGCAGTCTGCAGCCTGGATGCTGACACTTCCGCCCGCACACACTTCTATGCTACTTTCACACTGACCACACAGTGGTAAGTGCAAGGACAGTGGGGAGGCATTGACTGGGAACAACTTGGGCTGGAGCAGAGGTCAGTGAGGATGAGTTAGGTCCATTGTGGGGAATACTGGCTGCAAAATGAGAACATCAGGCACCAAGCTAGCCTAGGGCCAGAGGCCACAGCAGCCACTCTCCCATGGAATAGGCCCTGAGTGTCTATAGTCAGGCCTAGACAAAGAAACAGTGGCTCCAGGCTAGCTAAACATGGGTTGGGGAAGGCTACACTCAGTGTGACTCAGTCTCTTCCCCTACGTCCCATTCCTAGGAAGACCTTGGAGGCCTCAGCCATCTGCCGCTATGACCTGGCTGAGGTGCAGGCTGTCTTCGCTGGGCCCTACATGGAATACCAGGATGGTGTCCGGCGCTGGGGCCGCTATGAGGGTGGGGTGCCTGAGCCCCGGCCTGGCTCGGTGAGCACCCAGACATAGGGCCAGAGCCCTGGGAGGGAGAGGAGGGTCTGGCCTTATGGAAGGCAGGTGGAAGAGTCCTGAGATTCACCATCCCCATTCCCCACCCCAGTGCATCACAGATTCATTGCGTAGCCGAGGCTATAACTCATCCCAAGACTTGCCATCCCTGGTCCTGGACTTTGTGAAGTTGCACCCACTGATGGCTCGGCCTGTGGTACCCACACGTGGACGCCCCTTGCTGCTCAAACGCAACGTGCGCTACACACACCTCACAGGGACACCCGTCACCACACCTTCTGGAGCCATCTATGACCTGCTCTTTCTGGGCACAGGTGCTTCTAACCCAAATCCCTGGTCCCTGTTAGCTTTGATCATTAATATTTCTAAACATCCCAGACATTCCTGCCATGACTATTGGGAGTTCCCAGTGTTCTACTGAGTTCCCACTGCTACTGCTGAATCGTTGTTCCCCACATCATGATTCCTAAGCTGTTCCCATCAGGCCTCCTGTGGGGTGCTGAGGGAAGATCACATTGTTTGGGTTTGACTTTCATCCCTTTCCACGGCAGCTGATGGCTGGATCCACAAGGCCATTGTCCTGGGCTCTGGGATGCACATTATCGAAGAGACACAAGTGTTCAGGGAGCCCCAGTCTGTGGACAATCTAGTCATCTCTCCAATGCAGGTACCTCTGATTTCTGACCTCCAAAAAGTCCTTGCTGAAACAAGGGGAGTGGGAGGCTGGGCGAGACTGAGTATGTTTTGTAAATGAGGTGGAGGATGTTGCCAACCAGCTCTCCTCTCTGGCTTCCAGCATAGCCTCTATGTGGGGGCCCCTAGTGGAGTCATCCAGCTTCCACTGTCCAGCTGCTCCCGCTACCGTTCCTGCTATGACTGCATCCTAGCACGGGACCCCTACTGTGGCTGGAACCCCAGCACCCATGCCTGCATGGCAGCCACCACCGCAGCCAACAGGTCCCAGAGTAGCAGGTGAAGTGGAGAGGGTTGCATGTGGCCCAAGTGGAGGAGAAAGGCCTGCAGTCATAGGGGATGTGGGAGCTAGTTATTTGTTCACAGCCCCATCAACCCTTTCACTGGGGAAACTAAAGCCCAGTTGGCCTTGTTCATGAACCCTGACCTTCTGTCCCCAGGACAGCACTGATACAAGACATAGAGAGAGGAAACAGAGGCTGTGAAGGCAGCAGGGATACAGGTAAGTGACACTCTTGGATCTGTGTGGGTCTGGCTGCAGAGCCTGTCCTCTTGGCCATTTACCATCACTTGTATGGCCATGTTTGTGCATGAGTGGCTGCATCTATGTGCCTTCAGTGAGGATGATCCAGCACACAGCCTGGCACAGAATAAGAGCTCAATAGCTCAAACAAATTATAAACAAGGAAACAGGTTCAAGTATCAGGCTAGGGATGTAGCTCAGTAGTAGAGCAATATGTATGAGATCCTGGGATGGATCTCCAGCATGGGATTAAAAGAAAGTGTCAAGTGTCTTGTCTGAAGCTTATAGCCAAGTGGTGGTGGTGGGGGGGCAAGCACTCAAATGATCACAAAAATAACCAACGATAATTATTAATAATTATTGCTATGATAAGATTCAGAAGGGTAGTGGATATTTCCCCAAGGAAGATGAAGTGACATGTGAAGGAAGAACAGATGTGAATGATCATAGCTAACATGTACTGAGTACTCAGCATGTGCCAGGCACTGATCTAAACACATATCATTATGTACACTTATTCTCACAGCACCTATGACAGAAGTGCCATTATTATCCCCTTCAGGGACAACCCCTCAGGCACAAGAAATATAAGTAAACTGCTTAAAGGTACTCAGCTATTAAGCAGCAAGGCCAGAATTTAAACCTAACCCCTAGCATCTGATTCAGTTTGTACTTTAGATTATTATGCTGTGCTGTCTCCCACAAATTAACCAGGTAGGTGAAGGTCCTGGGGTAAGGCAATGACACCTAAGCAGAGGGAGCTATGCATGTTAGAGCATCAGAAGAAGGTGGTCCAATACCATGCTGAGGATCTGGGTTTTACCTGAAAAGCAACAGGACACTCTGAAGAGTTGTAGGCAGGGGAGTGGCATGATTCTTTCTAATCACCCAACTACTGCTTAGAGAATGGGTTCTATGGGGACCTGAATGGGTTGGCAGTTGTGGAAAGAGAGAAGTGAACAGATCAGAGAGATTCTGATGAGAGCTGGATATAAAGGTGGGAAAGAAAGACAGGCAAAGGAAACTGAGCAGCTGGTGGCACCATTTATTGTGGTAGCAATACAAAGCAAGAACCTGGTTTAGTTTGGAAGTGAAGCTTTGGCCTTAGTTAGGTGCCCAAGAGACTTCATGTGGAGATGCCTAGCATATGGTAGTCAAGTCTGGCACTCAGGAGAGAGAGGTCTGTGCAGGAGGTAGAGATTAGGAGTCACTGGCAGATGGCAGAGACTGAAATCACAAGAGAGCATGGGAGCATGAAGAGAAGGCAAATGGGCCCAGGTACCACCTGCATCCTGAGAAGGGTCACAGGAACCCGTGTGGGAGTGTAAGCACACAGGCTTGGTAAGCTGTCACTGGTTCTAGACTCTATGCTTAGTACCAGTGTCTCATCCTGGCACCAGAATGGCTACCATATGGGCGTGGATGGGCTGCTAGTGACAGACACACAGCCTGAGCACAGTGGAAACTATGGCTGCTATGCAGAAGAGAATGGCCTCCGTACCCTGCTGGCTTCCTACAGCTTCACAGTCCGGCCTGCCATTTCCAATGCCCTCCTGGGATGAGTAGGTAATGACTTTTCCACCCTCCTTCCCAGGGCCACCACCACCACTGAAGACCCGTTCTGTGCTCCGGGGTGATGATGTCCTTCTGCCTTGTGACCAGCCATCCAACCTGGCCCGTGCTTTGTGGCTACTCAATGGGAGCAAAGGCCTAAGTGATGGGCAGGATGGCTACCGTGTGGGCGTGGATGGGCTGCTAGTAACAGACACACAGCCTGAGCACAGTGGAAACTATAGCTGCTATGCAGAGGAGAATGACCTCCGTACCCTGCTGGCTTCCTACAGCCTCACAGTCCGGCCTGCCACTCCTGCCCCAGCTCCACAAGCCCCTGCCATGCCTGGGGCACAGCTGGCACCAGATGTGAGGCTGCTCTATGTGCTAGCCATTGCTGCACTTGGTGGCCTCTGCCTCATCCTGGCCTCCTCCCTCCTCTATGTTGCTTGTCTTCGGGGAGGCAGACGAGGACGCAGACGGAAATACTCACTGGGTCGGGCTGGTCGGGTAGGGGGCTCTGCTGTGCAGTTGCAGACAGTCTCAGGCCAGTGTCCTGGAGAGGAAGATGAGGGTGATGATGGGGAGGGGGCTGGGGGCCTGGAGGGCAGCTGCCTCCAGATCATCCCTGGGGAGGGTGCCCCAGCTCCACCGCCCCCACCACCTCCACCACCACCGACTGAGCTGACCAATGGGCTGGTGGCACTACCCAGCCGGCTGCGGAGGATGAATGGCAACAGTTATGTGCTCTTGAGGCAGAGCAACAATGGAGTGCCAGCAGGGCCCTGCTCCTTTGCTGAGGAACTCAGCCGCATCTTGGAGAAGAGGAAGCACACGCAGCTCGTGGAACAGCTAGATGAGAGCTCTGTTTGAGCCCAGCCTCCAGAACAAATTCTCTTCCAAGCCAGCCTGTGTGCCCCAGGCTGGGCTGCTGCCTCCCCAACATAGCCACCCTCCTTCACACCCCCTACTCCATGCCCTTCTCCCACCTTTTTGATGTCTCTGTAGGGCTGGCCAGTCAGGCCCAGCCTAAGCCCCTTTCTCAGTCTCCAAGACCTATGTGTGAGCAGCCCAGGCCAACCGGTGCTCCTCAGAGGTAGGTACTCCCTGGGGACCAGGTGCTCTGCTGATCCAGACACAGTTCCTATTCCCTTAACCTAAATGCTTGGGAGGAGAGTACTTACTCCATCCTCTGCTTCCATTATCTGCCCAACCTTTTCTTTCTCCCAGGTAGGGCTCTGCAGATCCAGATGGCCTCAATGTCACCACCCTCTGCATGGCCCTGTTTGGTAGATCATCCTGAAGCCAGATAAGACCTCTGCTAGCCACCTGAGCCCTGCATACATTCACATGTGCTCATGGAAGAATGTTCATCAGCTGGGCTGCAGTGCCCCACCCCACCCTACCCTCTCCTGCTACATTCTTGTGTTTCATCTCTTCTTCTGGATTTGGGGTACCCTTCCAATTGTCACATCCCTGTCTAGTTATCTTCCCCCAGTCCCCCCTCCCCGCCCCCACAAGTGTTGATGCCATTGGCAAGAGCTTGGGATCAGGCCAGCCTGGGAGGTAAGACTGCATCATTCCCCTCTTCTGCCTTCCTGTGCAGCCCTTGTGAGTCTGCCTCCCCACTCCCCTTGGTCACACCGAAGAGCAACAGAGCTCTAGGCAATGTCCTTTCCCTATGCATATGTGATAACACACCCACATCACATGTGCTTACATTTCCACCCACGTACACCTCTGAGCCTCCCCTTGCTGCCTTGGACCTGTGTCTGTCAGGTTTGGTCCATGGACATTTCAAAGGGAGATCCCCCTCCCATTTAGCTGTCTTTGCAGACTCTTCCCTAGGACGAGTGACCAACACTGCACTCAATGAGCCAGCTTCCCTTTTGGGGACCAAGCATTTTCTCCCCCTCAGCCACAGCAGGGAGAGAAGAGGACTGATGTCTCACCTGGCACACTAAGCCCGTTCTTGGAACTATGCAAAGGGCAGAGGCTGGGAGTTCCGATGCTTGGCTCCCACCCCTGTCCTACCTCACCGGGACACTTTCAGAGTCCAGGGGCCTCTGAAGTCTTCAGGCCCATATGGGACAATCAATTCTGAGCTCCCCCATTCCCATTGGGTGAGGATGACTGTTATTTTTGTAGCTGAGAACGTGGAATCCCACGGGTTTTTACTGCCCTTCACCCAACCTCTCCCACCTCCACCCCACAATGAATGTATTTATTATGAGAACGGCTGCAGTTCTTTAGGAATGTCCCCACTCATCCCCAGGTGGGTGGAATAGGCATGTGAGAGTGGGGAGCCTGGGCTCAGCTCCTCCCCCAATGTTGGTTAATAAATATCCTTTTCCCCCACATCTCTGAGAAGTCTGATTGGTCTAGATTGACTTGCCCTGGTCCTCAGGATACAGGCTCTGAGCCCATGGAGAGAGTGCTACAGTGGTTCTTGCATCCAGGCTTGGCCTTGCTTTCCATACAATTATTTGCAAAGGAAACTGAAATCCTTAGCTTCCATCATGGCTGTGCTGGGTGGGCACACAGTCCCTTTTATTAAGGCTCATATTATTCATTGACTGTGGTTTAAGGTCATGACAAACAAGAAAATCACAGCAGTTGAAGAATTCACACAAGGGTTTTCAGACTTTTTACTTTCTGTACATGTCCCCATGCCTGATTCCCTGCCTTTTTGTTTTGCAGTTCTGGGATTGAACCCAGAGGAACTTTACCACTGAGCTACATCCCCAGCTATTTTTATTTTTGAGACAGTAGTAACTAAGTTGCTTAGGGCCTCACTAAGTCCTGAGGCCAGCCTCGAACTTGTGATCCTCCTGCCTCAGCCTCCCAAGCCACTAGGATTATAGGCATGCACCACCACACACATCTTCCCTGACTTTTAAAAATTAAGCTGGGGGAAGGGGGGGTTGGGGTTGTAGCTCAGAAGAGCGCTTGCCTAGCATGTGTGAGGCACTGGGTTGAATTCTCAGTACCACATATAACTAAATAAAATAAAGGTCTGTCAACAACTAAAAAAAAAATTTTTTTTTAAAGAAAAAAAAATTAAGCTCAGGGGATGCTCCTTATTTATCAGTCTTCCTGCTCTTCTAAACAGCTTTCTAGCACCTCCCATCCACTGGTCCAAAGGATGACATGGATTCATAGCTGCACAAAGAGGGGTCTTGGGGATGGGGGTGGGGATGGAGCTGGGACTAGGGAAAGCTTGTTATGAGGAACCTTGTATGAGAATCACCCAGGACTCTCTCCAGGAATCAGGCCTAGATAATTGCCTAGAACAATTATCTAGATAATTGCCTAGAACATTGCCTTTGATCCTAATGATACAGGGTTATATGTTCTGCTTCTGGATTTAGGATAATGAAATCTCCAGCTTATGCTTTAAAATGCACACATTTTGAAGAACTCAAGTATGATGATAAGTTTAATGACCTCAGTTTTCTAATCTGTACATAATCACACAAGAAGTTTCTTGCCCAATGTCTGGTCACAATGGAAAACAGCTCAAAGGTTGTGGCAATAGGACATCAAGGATTCTTCAGAAGCCAGCCCTGAATCCCCTGTGTTTTGAGATTACTATAATCAATTTGAATTTCGGAAAACAAAGACCCTGTACAACTCTTCAAAGTTCTATCATCTCAGGTTTTGGGGATGCCAACTGGATTAGAATTTAGAGAGTTCAAAAGGTCACTGACCCCTAACTGTGGAAAAAAAGAAAAAAAAAAACACTTTTCTAGGGCAACAGTCTCAGGTCTAGGGTTGGAGTTGGTAGGGCAACTCTTCTTCACTGCGCTTGCACCTGGGCTGGGACAGGATCCCGGAGCTCCCTGGGTCGCAGCCCCAGGAAGGTTGTCGGTTTGTTGGTGAAGGGGTGCCACTGGCCCTGTATACTAGGACTGTCGGTGTGGAAGGGCTTGCGGATGCGGATCACGTCCAAGCCCGACTGGTCTGCCAGCTTTTGCACCAGAGTCGTGATCTCTTCGACCGACTTGCAGTGGATGCTTTCCTCTCGTACAGCTCCGTTAACTGGCAGGGCGGAGACGGAAGCAAACAGGTCAGATGTCAAGCATGGGGAGGCTAGAGAACCGAGCTCGGACCCCGCCATCCAGCCCTAACCCGGCGCAACTCACGGTATTCAGCCACTACTCTGGGCACGCAGCACGGCTTCGAGTTCACATATATTACGACCCCTGGGTTCCGTCGGGCGAAGTCGGTCACTTCGCGTTCCACGAACTCCCTGAGAGACCCGGGAAGAGTGAGCTCGGTGACCCCTGACCCGGCGCGACCTCTGCCGGGAATCCTTACTCTCTCTCCACCCCCGTGCGCTTTCCCGCACTCACCTGGCGCCGCGGGACGAGGGCGCGTCTCGGCTGAGGCTAAAACTGAGACGCTGTAGCTGCTGCACGTAGCGACCCAGCCCGTTGTGGAGAACACTGGTCAGAAAGCGACTCGGAGTCCCGCGCGCAGTCATTGCTACTGCTCGGAGGTAGCGGAGCCCAGTTGCGGGAAATGGGGGCGGGACTGAAAACGAACTTCCGGTTCCGGGGACCTTAGCGCTCCAGAGAGTTTTGCTTCCGAGGTTACCGCGAGTGGCGCGTGCAAACGACCCACGTTGTGGGCCTAAGGAGAGAGATGAGGGGCCAGGGGCCGGAGCCTTGGAACTCCTAGAAACAGCAGAGGAAAGATACGGGGAGAGAGGAGCGGGGCGCGTTCTTGGGGTTCAGACTGGCGGGAGTCGTAGAGTAGCGCCCTAGCCGTGTGGAAGGTCCCAGTGAAGGGGAAGGAATGCGAAGAGGGTCTCCATCTGGGTCCTAAAACATAGGGACCACAAAAAGGATGCGGAAGGCTGTAACTGTAGAGATGAGTACTACGAGAAGAGTGCGTGGAGGGGTGGTAGAGGTGAGGAAATGATACGGATAGGTAGCGACGAGGACTGCAGAGGGTCACAGAGGTGAGAGAAACCACAAAGGACTGACGATAGAGGTAAGGGAGCCTTTATAGAGGGACATATAGATGTGAAAGGGTCATGTAGATGGGCAGAGATGTGAAGTGGCAATGTAAAAACGCAGAGGAAGATTCAGGGGGATGTTATGACAAGTTTTAGGGGAGATAAGGAAGCTAAAAGTGAACTCTGTGGAGTGTTCCCTAGTGTTTGACCTAATGAAGGCACCCAAACCAGGCATTTAAGGCTTTTCAAGTAGTGACTTACTACTGCACTAGAAATGTGGGTCCTCCTCCGGGGTGCATACCCACTCCGGATCTTGCTGCCCCTACGTGGGGTGTGGATGGGTCGGAGGGGTCTGCCCCGAAGCTTGGTCCCAGGCTCTTCTCGTCGCAGGTACAGGAAGGAGGCTCTTCCAGCCTTGGAGATACCAGTATTGCCTCTAACTACAACTGAAATTCGGCAGTATTTACGGGCACATGGAATCCCCTTTCAGGATGGCTACAGCTGCCTTCGAGCACCTAGCCCTTTTGTGGGGTCCTCAGAGCCCAAGGATCAGACTAGTGCTGCCACTTCCTTCAGTCTCTTCATTGACAAGACCACAGGCCGCTTTCTCTGCATGACTAGCCTAGCAGAGGGGAGCTGGGAAGACTTCCAAGCAAGCGTGGAGGGACGAGGGGATGGGGCCAGAGAGGGGGCCCTGCTTACTGAGGCTCCAGAAGCTAAGGACATTGAGGAGATCCGGAGGATCTGGGACCGAGCAATACCGCTCTGGGAGCTGCCTGACCCAGAGGAAGCCCAGTTGGCTCGTATGATGTTTGGCCTTACCAAAGTGACAGATGAAACACTCAGGCGTTTCAGTGTTCGATACCTACGACCTGCTCGAAGTCTGGTCTTTCCCTGGTTTTCCCCTCGGGATTTAGGATTACGAGGTCTGAAGCTATTAGGGGCTGAAGGCCAGGGAGATGGAGTACACTACGTGGAGACCACTATTCCCCGGCCTGGTGCCTACCACAACCTGTTTGGATTACCACTGATCAACCGTCGAGATGTTGAGGTGGTTCTGACCAGTCGTGAGCTGGACAGCCTGGCCTTGAACCAGTCTACAGGGCTGCCCACCCTTGCCCTACCCCGAGGAACCATCTGCTTACCCCCTGCCTTACTCCCTTACCTCGAACAGTTCCGAAGGATTGTGTTCTGGCTAGGGGATGATCTTCGGTCCTGGGAAGCTGCCAAGTTGTTTGCCCGAAAACTGAACCCCAAGCGATGCTCTTTGGTGCGTCCTGGAGACCAACAGCCCCGTCCCCTTGAGGCCATGAACCAAGGCTTAAATCTTTCTCGTATTCTTCGTACTGCCCTGCCTGCCTGGCACAAATCTATTGTGTCCTTCCAGCAGCTTCGGGAAGAGGTGCTAGGAGAAATATCAAACGTGGAGCAAGCAGCCGGTGTCCCCTGGAGCCGCTTTCCAGACCTCAATCGTCTCTTGAAGGGGCACCGGAAAGGCGAGCTGACAGTCTTCACAGGTAACCCTCTGAGAAATCACTGGGTTAAAGGGACAGAGAATCAGGTGTCAAAAACCTGGGTTTAGGCCGTTGAAAATGTTGAGAAGGGGCTTCCCCTCCTAGCTTTATAGCTCTAATCTGTGTTTTGATTTAAGGGACTTTTCTCCTTACCCAGGACTGTGTTCATCTCTACTACAGGGCCAACAGGCAGTGGAAAGACAACATTCATCAGTGAGTATGCCCTGGATTTGTGTACCCAGGGGGTGAACACACTATGGGGTAGCTTTGAGATCAGCAATGTGAGACTAGCCCGAGTCATGCTGACGCAGTTTGCCATGGGGCGTCTAGAAGAACAACTGGATAAATATGAAGAGTGGGCCGACCGCTTTGAGGACCTGCCTCTCTATTTCATGACTTTCCATGGACAGCAGAGCATCAGGTGAGATCCTTATAGCCCAGCCACTTTGCTTTTCCAGACAAATCTCAGCACTTAGCACCTTTGGTTCCCTTTCCAACTCTAGTGGGAACTACTTCCAGGTCTCCTTAGATAGGTTTAGGGTTTTCAAAGAATAGAAAGGAAGAACAAATTGCCCGCAGACCAGCTGTTTTGCCTGAGGTGTCTGGAGGCTATTTGTAATTGACTCTTGAGTTCATTGCCTCTTCTTCTTCCCAGGTCTGTAATAGACACAATGCAACATGCAGTCTATGTCTATGATGTTTGTCATGTGGTCATCGACAACTTGCAGTTCATGATGGGTCACGAGCAGCTGTCTACAGACAGGTGATGCCCTCTTCTTGTCTAACTTGGATATGTCTTCGGAGGCAGCTGGCCTCTAGGTACACACTCTCTACTCTCTTGTATTCTGAGAGGTGTACAGGTACATACCACCCTGTATGTATT